TAAGCTATGATGTTTGGTAAGTTACGTGTATTATGTGTACTTTCGACTTAAGATAGTTTCAATTTACAGTGCGTTCATCAGGAAGTAACTATAGTTAAGTGGAGGAGCATCTGTACTAGCAATGAGCTTTTGGAAATAAAAAAAAATTTAGAAACAATCACAAGCATGGTATCTGACATGTAGTAGATACTCAATAAATATTTATTAAATGAGTTAAGTATGCAATTGAACTTTCAAATGTATTCTATTTTTGTTTTTCAATACATTTACATTTCAAGATATGTTCTTCTGGGTTTTATTAACATTAATACCCTTGACAGTATAACAATTATTCATGGACAACAGCAGTATAATCTATATAGTTAGAAGCAGTCAAACAGGCTTAAAACATTATATCGAATAATCTACCTTAATTTTTATTGAATTCCCTTTATCTGTGGTATTGAAATCAGTGTTGTATCCTTCTTATAAGATAAACCTCTACTAAAATGTTAGTCTCATGTACCTCTGTCATATGTTATATGCTCTGTACACTTGGGTTAATTAACATTTATTAAAAATTAAAATGTATATTATATCTGCATAATCCTAGTGATCTTAATTACACTGAAGTTATTACCTTTCAACACAAATGAAGAGGGACAAATCTCAAGACTAACATTTCTGAAAATGGCAGTCTCCAAATTAGTAACCAGGTCACCCCAAATTAGTATTATATACCTATTTCCAACCCTCATTTTAGAATGAAAATAACAGACAAGTAGTGTCTGCTCAGACAAAAGGTATCCAGTTAGACAAGATACCTCTTTGATGAAGTCAATACATAATGGTTACTGGTAATTAATTTTAGTTTGTTCCATTATTATATTCATAAGCTGTAGTTTTTTTTAATAGCTGGAGCACATGTTCTATATTAGCAGGCAAAGTGGGAAAGTTTTTTTGAGACACCAAAAGGGAAAAAATATCCTTCATTTTAAAGCATTCAGTAATAAAACTATTTTTATCTAACTATTCAAACAGAAAAATGGGCTCTAAATATATAAATTTGTTTTGTTTTCTTTTTTCTTTTTCTTTT